GGGTGAAGATGGATGTGTCTGATCCCAGGGGGCTGTTACTCTGTGCTGTAAACCTGTTAAAAGACTGCACAGCTCTATGACAGCCTAGTAGGGTTAGAGTTTGGGAATTCTGGCTCTAGGTTTCTTGGGAGGAATCATGATATTTGTCCTTTTATGACCGGAGAACCAAGAAGGTTTCTGCTTGGGTAGATGCTTGTGCCTGCAGCCAGTTCCAACATCTAGTTTGAGGGCAGTGTGTTGCATCTCTACACCAGGTGCACTCAACATGACTCCTACCAGGCTGCTGAACTATAGTCATCCTCCGAATGAGGCTTGCACCTCCTCCCCAGCCTGCCAGAGGAAGTGCATGGGCAACAGTAGCTTCCCCTGATCAGCAGAGGCCTGGACCAGGAGATGGAGTCTCCTGAGTCCCTCTCCCTCTTCGATCACACTCATCTGGAGCTGGAGGGCCCTGGAGCTCTTCCAACGTGAGGGAGTACGAGCCTCAGCGGGAAAGTATTTGCCAGTTGGGAAGCGAGGATGCTAAATGGATTTGCATTTGCCCCGCGGGCTGTAATAGTTGCCTTGCAACATTTACAGAGATGGGCTGAGCCCAGCATGGTTGTGCTGGGGTGAAGCCCCACTGGCAGGGCTTTCTGGAATTCCCGAGGAATGGGGTGCGGCTGGGTGCTTGCTTATAACCTGGGCCTGGCTCTGCGTTGCATCTTCCTAGTGCAAGGCTCCAGCGCTCTTCCTGAGTCTTCCTAGCATGAGGCTGTGACAAGGACAAAGCGGTGGAAGCCGGGATGGATGACATGCCTGGGGTGAGCTTGTGGAAGGAGCCAAGCAAGTTGTCCCTGCCTCCCTCTCACCATCAGCTGATGCACAGCAGCAGGAGAGAATGACAGTGGTTCCTGCGCTGTTTCCAGTGCTGCCGGTACACAGCCAGCCCTGGGGGTGGAAATGCCTCTAGCCCTTGCAAGGGAGGTGTGGGGGGAGTGTGGAGGAGCAGGGTGGGGCAGTGGAGTACCCCTTGAAATGGGAAGAGAGTGGGTAAGTCTGGCTGTATTTTAGGAACGTGGGCTAGATCAAAGGTTAGGGTTGATTCTTTTAAGGGAGCAAAACATAAACTGCCGTCCCACGTGGAAGGGACTCGTGTGAGGAGGGTTATGCTTGCCGGGGGGAGAGGCATGTGTGGTCCTCTGGCATATGGTCATCAGGGTCCCCCTATAGCCAGGAGCGGTGCTGGAGGGGTGGAAGCCCTGTGCCAGGGGAGCAAGAACCTCTGGTGCTCAGCAGGATGGTGTCAGGTGCTGCCCATCTTGCTCTCTCTCCAGGGAATGTGGTGGAGTCTCCCCTTGGGGTTCTCACATCAGCTTCAGAGGGAATTAAAAAATGTTGTTTGTTTGGGGTTTTTTTGCCTGGCTGATCACTTGAGACCCTGCTGCCAAGATCCCCTGACGTGATCTCTGTGGAGGTGCTTGGGAAAGTCCTCCTATCCTGGGCAGAGAAGCAGAGAGCTCCTGAGCTCTCTGCCCTGAGCTGCTAGTGCTGCTACCCTTCTGTCCTTCTGTGTGCGGTCACACGTGGGTGTGTAGACACACCACCCAAAAAAAGAGGACTGGAGGAGTCCTCACCTTGGGAGTGTCCTTGGCTGGTTTCTTTGAGCCCTGAGGGTCTGTCTTCCCCGCCAGTTGCACAATCCTTGCTCCCTCCTCCTCTATATCTGCTGTGCTACAAATTTTTAGACACCCCTTCCGGCAACACTCTGAAACCCCTGCCTGTGACCAGGCAGAGAGAGGACGGGAGCACAGCCCCGTGTATTCCCTGTGCCACCTTAGCAGTGGCCGATCACCAGGGGACCTTTCAGCATCCCTGATGCTCAGATCGTACAGTGGTGAAAAGCTCCAGGGGCAGTGGATGGTGGGGTTAGGGAGGAGGCTGATTTTGGGAGAGCATGTGGGGATGGGGGGATGTCCTGTTTGCAGGGAATTGCTGCACGTGGATTGATTTGCAGCGGCCAAACAGCACTGCTGACGTCTGGGAGGAGGGAGGCAAAGCTGACGCGCTGAGAGGCTCTGGCATCACAGCCACAGCCCGGGTGCTCTGCTGCCTTGTGTCAAGTGTGCCGTGGCTCCCGCCTCAAAGTGCCAGCAGCCTGGAGAAGGGGAGGGCACGTCCCTGCCAGGGGACTGGCAGAGTTGAGGGTGCCCCCGCAGTTCTGGGGAGAGCCAGGCACCAGGGGCAGAGGGAGGGAGGGAAGAACAAACTTACTTTCTTCTAGGAATTTAGGGCCTTGCAAGAATATGAGGCCAGGCCTTGGGGCACTTGACAGCCAGCCAGGAGTCCATTGAGACGCAAGTCGTCTTTGATCTGCCGCACAGTTAAAAAAGGAGATTGTTAACCTGTGTTAGACAAATAACTCCAAAGGAGCTACTCAGGCAGGAAAAGCACCAGCTGCTGGGGCTGGTCTGTTGGGGTTCCACCTCCTGCAGTGCTCCTCCACCTTCTGACCCCATGGGATCAGGTGGAGGTGTCTGATGGACCTTTGCTTCCCTGCGTCCCATCCCCACTAAGTGCCCTGGGTCTGTGTGTGTGCTGTGCCCCAATCTCAGAACCTCCCAGGCATAGGGCTGGGATGGGGGGCCAGAGCCATGGCTGTTCCCTGTGACAGACCCCAAAGGTAGCCAGGGCAAGCCACGCAGCTCAGGTCTGTGTAGCTGCTCATAGGCCAGCCTTGGACATGGTTCTGCAGCACTAGAGGAAAGCATGGAGCTTCACAGTCTTGCAGTTGTCACTGGCAGAGCTGCCTCACAAACCCCGAGGAGGAGGACAAGATTATGAGCCACGTGGGCTGGTGATACGCCATAGCCATGCTGATAGTATCTGCAACATGAAAAAATTGGCACCTGAAACTGCTGCTATGAGCAGGGAGTGGAGTTTGTTCCTACAGGCAGTCCCCAGCAACCCGGCTCCTGAGGGCGTGCGTTTGCAATCCCTGATTCGCGTCTGTTCCCCCAGCTCAGTTAGCAAGGTGACACCTCCCAGCTTGCCTCCAAAGTCACCCAGTCTCGTAACACCTGCCCACGCTCTCCCCCAGCGAGTGCCGGAGTCTAAAATAAAGTTCCATTTCCTACACGTATTAAGTGTCAGGAAGGAGCAGGGGCATCCGTGCACAGCAGCATTCGTACGCAAATGCGTTTGGCTGACAGGTGCAAACATTAAAAAGCCCGCAGTTTCACCGCCCAGCACTGAGCTCTGGCTGCAAGTACTGGGAATTGCAAATTCCAGTCAACGCTGTGTGTGGCGCAAGGCAGGGAAGCGCTGCAGAGCCTCTCTGGCGCTGGGCTCTTGGTCCCACTCTTCCTCACGCGGCAGGAGTTGTCAGAAGGCATCTTCATTTCACAGCTATTCAGTGATCCCTGAATTATACAAGTCTCTCTCTTGCTGTGCATTCATCATTGATGCTGCTTCCCTCTCCCTCAGAGACTGAGGAAGTAATGCCTGGGGATGTAAAATCTGCTTTTCACTGCAGGCAGACAGCCAGATCTGTGGTGAGATGTGACAGTGACAGGGACAGAGTGGGGCAGAGAGGCTCGATCTGACTCCAGCTCTCTAGTGGACCTGGCTGCGGAGGTTTAAGGCACTAGCGTTGTCTGCTCTGCAGCGATCCCAGGAGGTTTCTGCCCTGTGACTTGGGCTGCAGCAGCCTCCAAGGCAGTGTGTCCTAGTTTAAGTTATAGCATTAGAGGGTGGGCTAGCAGGGCTGAGGAGGGAGCTGTCCGATTGCAACGTTAGTGGAGGCAAAGGGCAGGTGGCTGAGGGACAGGCACATGAGGGAGGGTGCCAGGTTCAAGCAGCCATGCAAAAGTGGCTGCAGGTTTGGGCTAAAGCCCTCAAGGTTTAAAAGCCAACGTTTAACCACCTGCCTGGCGGTTTTCCTTGATTCCAAGTGGAAGGGAAATGTTCCGCACTGAATGCAGGCAGGGTGGGAATAGCTGTACACTAGAAGGACCACACACATGCCACCAACTGCCCGTAAAAACCCACATGAAACTCCCTGTGTTTCACAAGCGCACAAGCCAAGTTCTCCTCTCAGTTACAGGGGCATGTGTAGGGCTGTGGCTCAGACGGCATCCAGTGCCCGGCTGAAAGAGCAGCTTTTCCGCATGAGTAGCCCTGAATTAAGAGAGCTGGGAGCTAAGCAAACACTTTGGCCAGTACTTTCCTCCATCTCTTTTTCTAGTCTTTCGGAAGTATGTTTTAATCAGTGCTTGCTTTCCCACACCGCTCCTTTGTAGTCTCGTTAAGTGCTGTCACTGGGGCCCATTCAAGCCTGGTGCAAGAGTAAAATTCCCAAGAGATTGATGGCGTTGCACCTGCCCACACGAACCCTGAGTTTGGCCCATCGTCTGATGTCTATAAACCTGCTTACTTAAGGTTTTTTGGCGCTGGCATGCAATGACATCCAAACTCCCGTGTGTTTCTTCATCTAAATCAGCTCCTCAGCCCACCACCTTGAGCAGCCTCTCATGTCCTCCCTGCAGTGTTTGTGGTTTCACCGCGAGCTCATGCCGGAGCAGCCTCAGCTGCAAAGGTCAATCTTCCTTTCCACCCCCCACCTTTTTTTTTTTTTATTTAAAGACTATGCAAATGATGTGTATTATTGGGCCGCTGTGGTTTGGAGACACACGCGCGCGCACACGCACACACACACGATATCTCACAAAGGCCGTGAGGGAGTTTCATAACAGAGGGAAATATTGGGAAGGTTTTATCTGATAGT